CTGTCAAAACATACATTTAATGTATTTGTCAATTTTTTTTATTCAATTTTTTGATAATATACATATCGTCGTTTATCTGACAAAGAGGCGTATCTCATTTTTAAACAAAACGGTGTGAATTGAATTACGCCAGTTTGTACGGCACACAAAATGCAAAAATATTAGTTACGCCGAAACTGCTTTATGCTAAAACTTTATTTGTACCTATTTATTATAGAGCTACGCCAGTTTGTGAGATTATAAAGTCGATTTTGGTGATCATTCTGGTACAACTCAAAAACGAATTTTTTTGAGTTACGCCTCTTTGTCAGATAAACGACGATATAATAATAATATAATATAATAATAATATAATATAATAATAATATATATATATATATATATAATATATCGACCCATGCAACGAAGACTATTAATTGTAACTCAGTTTTGATTGTAGACTAGAGTAACTCAACTTAATATAGTTTTCGCCTGTAGGAATGTGGATTATTACACTTACTATACAGGGAAGTTGTTCACTGGTTGCCTATCGTTTCATGTCTGAGTTACTGTAATCTTCCACCAAATAGAGCTTGAAAAAATCTGTTGATGCCATATAGTAAGTCAAAACCCACGTTTTTTGAGTTACTATAGTCTTCGTTGCATGGGTCGATATATATTTATACCAAAACTAAATCATAAAACCAAACCCTAAATCGCTCTTAATCGAGCCCTGAATAATGGAGAAGGTTATACCCTATAGAGAAATGGAATTTCAGTTGCTATAGTGTCCTTATTTTCGAACGCCGCGGAGCATATATGCCTATAAACTTAAGACCAATTTGTTTAGCTTGTTATTTAACTAAATACATATAAATAATAAATTATTTTATTTTAACCCTTTAGTAATATGGTATATTCAAGTTTTTTTTAATATAAATAAATTCTACATTCTAAATTTTAATGTTATTTGTATTTTTTTATTGAATTTTAAGCTCAGCACAAAAGACCTCACTTCTCAGCCTTATGACATAAATAACTATAATTTGTTTTAATGTTTGTAAATATTAACACAGGCCCACAAAAAAACTAGTCAAACTGAATCTGAAATGCAGGGTAGATACCTTTCTTTTAAAGAATTTTTGTATTGTTAATTGTACATTTAATTCCAATTTTTGTTTAATAGAATCCTCAACTTTTAAACAAGCAAGGGTTTCTTCTATTGGCTAAGAGACACATTGTAAAAAAAATCAAAAAGTGTAGGTGCTAAACTAAAGTTAGATACAGTTTCGTCGGGTGAAGATACATAGGAAAATCATGGTCCTATTTGTTTTACTGTGAAATAAATAAAATTAAATAATTTTTTAAGTACATAAAAATATCAAGTTTTTATTCATGGCCTATATAATTTTTACAATAATATAATCTTTCAAATTTTCTGTTGTAATGTTACGACTTCTATCTGTTAAAATGTTTGTATAAACTTTAAATAACCGTTTCACGTCCATTAGGGTAAGCCAAAAAAACTAACCTATCGGATTTATGGGTTAAAATGAACCTACATACTGAGCAAAAAATTTCCCTGCAAGGCAAAATTTTTTGCTCAATTTTAAAAGGTGTCGGTGAGCATTCTAAGTTTTCCATTGAAATAACACGTAAAAAAATCTTGTTTCATTAAAAAGACTATAACTTTTGAACCGTTTGAGATAAAATTTTTTACGTCGCGGATTCTTGTAGAGCATAAAATTTTCCAAAGAATCTATACCAGGATTATTTTTTTTTATTCAAAAATTCGTATGTTTGAAAGCTTTGAAAAGTGTAAAAAATCACTAAAACTGCATTAATTTTGATTCTTGATGATTTTGGTTTTATCTGAAACTTAAATTTAACAACTGAATCACAATCAGGAGGTCAAAATTATAAAGAAAACATGTCACGAACGTAAATATTGGTTCATGTTTAGTTTTCGCAAATTTTCACCAAAATGTCATTTTGAAAAAGTGGTCTTTGCTTAGGCCCCTCTGAAAATAATGGAAGTTTGTTGCTTGTCGCTTGTTCAGAATTATTCAAGGAACAATCTTTTACCCTCTTATTTTCTTGTTTGCCTTCCAAAAAGCCTTAAATGTACTCTTTTGGAAAAAAAATCATATTTTCGTTGCTAAGATTCCAATTCGAAAAAATTGAAAAACGTTTCAAGGTAACACATAATACTTCATTATTTCAAAGTAAAAACGAAAAAAAAATTATTGTTTTACAAACGGGGCTTGGATGAAATTATTGAAATTTTTCAGGAGGGAGGCGAGGCCACGCCCCATATATATATAGATATATTCGGTTTTAGTCTGAACGGGCTGTATATATATATGTATATGAAACAATAGGGGAATCTGTGTGTCACCGTCAAATGTCAAATTTTTATATTTTATTAACACAGATTATAAAGGTTATAAATCGAAATGTACTGCCGGCGAAACTAAAAGGTAAGTACAATGTTCATATAAACTTTTTAAATATTGGCGTTGAGAAACTATTTAATATATACTTTTGTATTTTTGTATTGAGATAATAAAATAATGTTCACATTTAGTATTATTTTACAAGAAAGGCACTTTATTTTAACGATTTTATGACATTTGACAACTGTCAACTAACTTAAAACTAACTTCAGCCCGTGACTAAAAACCTGTTGCTAACTTCAGCTTTATTTAACTGTAGGTGCCGAAAACAACTAATAATGTTCCCATTGTAAAAATAGCAAAAATAAGCATCATCAGCAGCTTATTAGTAAAATATGATAAAATCTGTGCAAAAAATAGCCAACATATGCATTGGAGTATATTCGGTCCAATAATTATAATTTTATTTATTTATTTGTGTCAAACAGGCCCAGGGCCCAATAACAGGAATACGTTTTTATTAATTTTATTTTTATTTTTACCCTAACTTTTATATTTTAAGTATACTTATACATATTTGTAGGTTTCATATGCTACAAACTTTTTATGATAAGATATACATTGATATATAATTTAATAATTCATAATTTCTAATAATAAGTAACAACATAATAAATTAAATTTATTTTATCCAATCTTAAGTATTTTTATTTATAGACGCCTAATGAACAAAGAATTCACAAAATGTGTCGTATTTTCAACATTCCTCGGGACTATTTTAACACTCAACTTTCAAAATGCTTTCTTGCGACTGAGTGCATTTCTTATCTAAATTTATCTTGTTCTTGGCTTGAATTTAGCAAACACGATTTTTGAAGAAGGAAGTGTGACTAATCGAAAATTCTTATTGATAATGAAACACTCGTCTAATTTTAATAGTATTCGTTGACTGAATTAAACGTCTTAATGCCTTTTAAGTGTTGCTTATTCATAACAATTAAAATTAGCTTTTATTTTATTCGCATGTCTCATTAACTGTTTGCATACTTGCTTTGTAAGTAAGTATAATTTAACGCCACGGAGCTTAATGCGTTTTTAATTGTCATATTTTATTTACATAAATTTATTTTTTTAGAATATAAGTAGGTACAATTTAAAATAATAAATATTATATTTTATTTTATATTTAAATTTGCTATAATAAATCAGCAATCCAGTTATAGTGATTAGTTTTTGATAATTTGCAAAAACATTTGCTGTTTTATATGGGTTAACGTACCCTCATGTTGTTAGATTATCCATAATGCATGCACCATGGTGGACTTAATTTGTTTTAATTATTTAAATAAAACTTATAAACAAGACTACCAATCTTATCGTAAATAATGATTACTTGGTAAAATGATTCACAAAGTTTTCCGCATGATTTAAATAATAACAAAAAATTTATCAGAAAAAAATAACAAAATTTAACAATTATGAATGTAAAGCAAACACAAAATCAAATAAACCACAGTATTTTTTATAAACGCTATTTTAATTAGGAATTGAGCGAAGCTTGCAAGCGAGTGTTTAATAAAAACGAGTGTCCAGAGAAGTTTATAAAACGAGTTGCATACTATACTTTATCTACGACGAACCCAAATAAGAAATTAAAGCCAATTTTAATTGTTAAATATTTGACTTAACGTCACTTTTTCGTAATTTATAATAAATATAACTTCAGCCCGTGACTAAAATGACATAAAGTCAAAGCTTGTCAATGTCGTAGTAGTTAATAGAAATGAATTATTTTTTGTAGTTTTTTATAAATAATTCACAAAAATAACGCACCACCCCAAAATCTTTGTTCAATACTTATAAAAACGTTTTTGGATTTTTAACAAAAATATAGAAAATGTTATACAGTGCTCTTAAAAAATAAATCTATGTTATTAATCAAAAAATGATCAAAAATAAAAAAATAAATTGCTTAAGGTTGGTTTAGTTTAGAGATTTAGTTTTAGTTTTAGTTTAATTCATTTATTTATTTTAAAACCCTGTAAAAACTCAAAATTTAAGTTAATTTAAGTATATTATTGCACCTTTCCTTTTTTATATACAGTGTACCTGAAATGTTTCAAGAAAATTTAATAGTGGATTCCTACAGGAAAACGGAAAGAAATACAAATAAAACGCAACAGGAAAATTTTTCATTGGTGTACCATAATTTTCCGTCACGTACATCTGTGATTACGTCAATTACAAAATAAAGCCATGTTATATATACCTAAATTTTTTTGTAAAATTTTGACACCCTGTAACTTGAAAACTATTATTTTTTACTAAGCAATCCACTGTTAAATTTCTCGCAACATTTCTATAGAGGAACATAATTTAACATTAATGTAAGTCAATATAATAATTAAATATATTATCATGGTTTAGTGCGCTTAATTGCTTAATTAGTTAAGTCAATAAAAAAAGTTAAAAATAAATATGGTGTCTCATTCGCCATTTTTGGAAGTTAATTTATATTCCATTCATGTGGAGTATTGACGTTATCAAAATCAATAATAAATCAATTAATAAAGTATTATACATATACGAAAAACTAGATAATAATAAAAAATATATAATGGTTACCTTGGCACCAACTTGGTTTCCGCATTGACCAGCTTGAAGATGAACGATTTCCCTCATGATGAAAATTCGCGAAACTAAAAAAATAAATAATAAACTTGTGCCGGTGTCTAAGCAGTGAGCAGTGATGTGTATGTGAGTGATGTCGGTGCCCGAATGGAGTTGAGTGAGCTGTTAGACGTCGATGACAACTCTGGATGGACGTCTTCTACGTTAAGCTGGCGTTGGATGCGATTGTAATGCGATGTTCCACCACCACTTCGTTCATATCGGGTTACATGTGCATAGTGCACCGGGACTCCATATGGGAAGTGTAAATGTAAGGCTTTACGGTTTAATTAATTAGGGTGAATTTTATGTAGAGGTGTGTAATTTATGTCCTACATGTTAAAACAATATATTTTAAAGTACTTTTCACTCAAATAATTAATTTTTTTAAATAAAATTGGAAAAAAACTTTAACAGTTTCTGATTTTGTCTTAAAACTGTTCTTAAAAAAATAGTCATCTTTTGATGTAGGTAATTATATTTATTTATATTGTGCCAAGTCGGTGTTTTACTGTCCATACATTTTTATATTAAATTATGAGTCTAAAAAATAAAGTAATCTTTTTAATTAAACCATCTTTTATCGTATTCAGTAAAAAAAATTAGGATTATTCAATTTTAGCCGACATTATTTAAAATTGGCTTATATTTTGCAAACTTTTTAAAAACAAATTTATTAAAGTAAACAAAATATTTTTGAAAAAATAAAAAATAAGGATCAATCCAGTAAAAAACCTGGTTGTCTAATTTTAATACGGTGAATTGGTTCCAGCATTTTTAATAAAATAGTCAATCTTTGCGGATTTATTACCTAATTTAAAAAAATATGTTGTTTAATTAACCTTAAAAACTGTGATTAAAGTAAAACATTTCGTCACTTTATATAATAAGTAATTATTATTAATTTTTAACTTTTCTTAATAGCCATAAAGATTCACAATCCTAAAGTATTTTAATAATATTAATATTTTTACTAAATTTAAACCACTTAACCACTTAAATAATTATTTTTTGTAGGGGAACTCTAAAGGTATAAAAAATCTATTAATAATGAATTAAAAGAAAAAAATAATTTTGGGTAAAATTAAAACTAAAAGGTAATATTTCTGAATATTAAATTATTTAAAATGTTATCCAATATTTAATAAAAATTTTGTATCTATTCCTATTGCATAATATTGGGTTTTTTGCGTATATAATGATAAACATTACAAATTTCTATAGCAACCGAAATAATGAACTCATTATCCACGTTGTTAGGCATCAGTGATTTGCCCATTTCAATATTAACTGTGATTTGAACCAATCGGGTTTTGAATTGCCAGAAGGCGACTATAATAATATTTAAAATTGGTAAAAAGTAAGGTTAACCATTTGACAGATGACATATTATATTATTTATTTAATTAACTATCTACTAGCTGAAGCAGATAAAGGACTCGAGACGCAAACCTCATCCTTCTGAATAATAGCCTGCATTATCTCTCGTATAATTATATACTAATAATATTATTTTTTAAAATATTTTAGAAATGGTAAAATAGAAGTTATTTAAATTTAATAATTATTTTTTTAGATTTAGTTTTTTTATTAATAAGATTTTGAATGCTAAATACCTACATTAGTTATACCATTTTTAAATATAAAGAGACAAGAAAAATATAAATGTTAAATCTAAAGAAAGAGAAAACATACATAATAGCTATTTGTGTATTAAGAGCGCAAAATGATTAATTGCCGCTCTGAGCGAGAAGTTTGAGCGGAGCGCGTCTATACCTCGAGAGCGGCAATGTCACTTTGCGCTCGAATTACACACAGGATTTTTTCTACAACCGGTGTATAAGAATGTTTAGTAAAAATTAATAATTATTGATAACCTCAAATTTGACGTTTGTGTCAAAAGTCGCAAATACACTAAACGTTTCTTTATTATGGTTTCCATGGTAACTAAGCCCAAAGTAACTGTCGCTTGGCGAGCGACAAAGTAAAATAACGCTCGCTCATCGGAAAAGTGCAAAATTGCGCTTTTTTTTTAAAGCGCACATTCGTACTTTTCGCTTGGTTGTAGAAAAAGTATTTTTAACGTTATTTTAACGTAAATATGTGGTAATATTTATTACGTATGATATTATTTACAAGGTTATTCTTTTGTTCACTTAGGCCCGGTTTTATCATCACTAGTTAAAATTAAATTACTACTTCCCAGATAGCACACGGTTTCCTACGGACGTCCTAGCTAGGTCGCTTTTGGCCGGGCCTGTTCGGACGTCTGTGGACGGCCCAGCGACGTCCACGGACAGTATTAAAAACGATTTTAAGATTAAAAAATGCTTGTACCTACTTTTGTGATTATTAATAATTAAATTGAAGTCTTTAATTGTTTTTTGACTTGCAAGTATGTATATTGCGAAATCTGGATATCCTTGGAACGGCCAAATGAGGTCTTCTTAGGCTGTCGTCGACAGCCTGTCGATGGCCAAAATCCTTGGCAAATCGCGTCGTGACGTTACCACGTGACCAGAGACAAACCACGTGACAGAATACTTCAATGCAATTGGTAAAACTAAAGAAGCGCGCTGTTGCCGTCAATTGACGTGTTTTTTGTAAAAAAAAACAGATTTAATAAATTCTCTTTGCTTTAAAACTAAATACACTTGTTTTTATTTGCTGAAAATGCCTTCATCTTTAATAATTTTAAATTTAAAAAGCTTAAATTTAAGGCATTTTCAGCAAATAAAAACAAGAGTATTTAGTTTTAAAGTAAAGGAAATTTATTAAATCTATGTTTTTTTTACAAAAAAGTTGCGTCGGGACATCCGAAGTGGATAGACGTGTCAAGTGGTTAAAGAGACCTCTCCTAGCAGCGTATATACGAGAGAAATATAATAAAAAAATTGACTTTTGGGATCAGTTGCGTCGGGACATCCGAAGTGGATAGACGTGTCAAGTGGTTAAAGAGACCTCTCCTAGCAGCGTATATACGAGAGAAATATAATAAAGTTCCAAAAACAAACCAAAGTATTCGGAAATATCGGTCATCGGTAATAAATAAATAAATAAATAAATAAACATTCAAGTGCGGAAAGTGTGATAAGGGCAACAAGTGCAAAAAGAGTGCAACAAGTGCAAAAAAAGTGAAACAAGTGTGAAGAGTGGGAGATCTCCCATTAAAGCCGTAAAAGAGTGCAATTGAATAAGTAATAAAGGCCAACGGTCCACCTGGTCAGAAGGGATAGTCACAACCAAAACCTATCAAGTACCTGCAGGGAGGTCCAGAAACATCGGACAGACCGTGAAAGACCGAGCATCAGGATTATAGCCGAATATCCAAGCTAAGTAATTTTTCTAACTGCACACTGAGAAAACGAAATATTTAATATTAAGAAATCAAAACAGTTGCGATTTTTTTAAAATATTTGTTAACTATTAAAAAATTTCTGAATCGTGAACAAATTATATACTAATTATTAAAACATCGTCCGGTGACTGTGTTTCAGACAAATAAAGGATAAAGTCGTCTTAGAACTGTGATATATTAACAGTTAATATACCTAAATAAAACGTTTTAACATTTGTCAACATAATTTTAAATGCAATATGCGCAAGCATGTGACGTTGCCGTAGTTTTTTACAAAATGGAGTTTCGATATATTAACAGTTAATATATCTACATTTGCTAATACGTTATGAGCTTCTTTAATTCAACTTAACCAGTTCTTAGACCCAAATTAATATTTCTTTCGCCATATCCAACTCAACGATATGTTAATAGTTAACGTGCCTCGTTATTAACAAATATTTCGTTCTCTCAGTGCATGTCTAATAACAAACCATTTTATTCCAAAAAATCTAGTAAAACGTATCATATTTCGAAAAGGAATTTTAAGTTTCCCAGCTGGCACCAGAAAGTAAACATTCCTATTAGACAGACCACACAAGTCATTACATAAACAAAACAGAAAAGGCAGATAAGACTCCATCCCCCAAATAAACACTTGACTAATACCATAAATAAACGCCAAAACATAAATAATAATAAACACAAACCAAACAAACATGGAAACAGTAAACACGAGCAATCATTCGGTGGGAATAATTAAAATGCCATCCGACGGAAATTGCTTAGTGGCCAGCTTGGCCCATCAACTAGATAATAGCCTGACAGGGTCAATAAATACATACGCATTAAGACAAAGACTAAATAACCACTTACGAACACACATTGAGACTTACAGCCCATACTTACAGGATGCGATCCTTGACCATCCCTACCGCTACGCGCATATTAACGACTGGGAACGCAAAACAGAGGCGTACTTAAAGGACCACGCACAAAACGGCTTCTGGCTGGGTTTAGAAACAATAATAGCAGCATCAGACATATTTAACGTCGCAATCGAAATACATCACGAACAGGGGCGTACTGACAAGATATCCTTCAGACATAACAATAGCAACCGGTCAAAAAAGTCGGTAGATCTTGCTACACATTCCACGACACCCTGGCCCAGACAATCCAATTCTCACAAACCGATCTCGCCAGCTGGGAACAAATCAGCTCCCACAAAAACCGTATGCGGGAGGAGACGGAAAAACTGTATCAACTTCCGGAATCCGACTCGGAGACGGACACAGAAACTGACGAACCGGAAGTAAACCAACAAAGATAGGAGTAAGAAACGAACTAACATACCCACCCCCCATTCACGAATACCAATTGAATGGGGGTACTACTAAGGCCTAGGTTGAGGAGGATTCCGGATTGTACTTAGTTTTGGGTCAGTTCAATGTCCTCCAAAAACCCTTCCTAAACTGGACGTATGGCCCGACCCGGCTGACAAAAATTCCGGGAGCTGCCTTAACCTTTGACACTGTCATCCACGAACTCCTAGGGTGGATCTACCAGCCGGCGTAAAAACTTCGGATCCAACAAACACAGGTAATGCTGTGATTTGGCGGGATACGCAGGAGAACGGAAAGGGGGTAATATAACCCCGGGTTCAGTGGATGACAATATATCTGGGGCTTGCCATACGTTCCCATACTCATACTCATACTCATCTATGTTTTTTTTACAAAAAAAACACAAGTTAAAACATTTTAATGTTCAGTCTAGGTTTATTACAGTTTAAATATAAAACTGT